GCTTTTGTAATGTAGGCTTCTTTTAGCTACAGTATCCTCTCTTTACCTTTCCAATCCAATTAGGGTGTTTTTCTTTGGAGGATTAGACTCTATTTAGTGCGTTCAATTTCTTCCTTACCCATTTGTAACTCCGATTTTCAAACTCATGAGGTTGCCTTCCATTCTTGGGCCTATTTCTGACAGTGGCATTTTGATTTTCAGATATAGAACTGCTCTGTAAAGTTTGAAGGTCTCTCATTAGCACTGTGGAATATTTGGTAAGATGCTAGGATCCACATATGTTGCATCTTCTTTGGTTTAAATAGGATTGACTTAAATGGGAAAAAAAACTTGTGTTGAATACCCTATCTGAAAATATGTGTGTAGTTCCATGCATTAGTACCTTCTCAAGAAATCTGCCTTAAGCCTCTTGTTTTATTGTTTGAGAAGTACCAGCAGTTCTGTGAGGTTCTGCAGAATGGGGGAGCAGTCTGTGCTTTAAGTTTGCAGCTTGTTCTTGAGAGCATTTTGCAGTTACTTGACTGCAGTTGGAATTCTATCATTTGTATTTTCTTAAGTGAGGCTTCAATTAACATAGCTGCTTTTTATCAAGTGGCTATCCTCTGGCCAGCAGGTGATTTCTAGGTTGCTCAAGCATATTTGTGATTTATAAAGATTTCTGGGACTGATAGATAATTTCACTAGGCTTGCACCTCAGGATTTCCAGATTTTTTTTCGATTTTCAGATTTCATTATTTTATAGTAGTACATACATGATGTAAGTTCCTGCTGGTCTTTGTCTTCAGTCTGTATGTACTTGTGGTTAATTCCTCAGCCTTTTTGAGCTTGTGATGCTTTGCCATCTTTTGAGTGTTGTCATAATATTTTTGCACTCATTTCCTTTTCAAGGTCTGAAAGTTTAGTAATCAAATTAATTTCTTTAACTAATTAAAAAAAAAAAAATCTTCTAAAATACTTCCAAGGGAAGCAAAATGTTAAAGATGGGGTTTTTAGGATGCAGTGGGCTTAGGTGTGTGGGAGAAGTAAGGTGTGCCTGAACCCGAGCTCTGTGTAATAACTCCAGAACATTGTGAAAAGTGTGCTTTGGATAGGTTTAGTTATAAGTATCTTTATGTCAGAATTCCCCATTTCCTAGTTACTTATCTTTATTTAAAAAGCAGATCTACTCCAGCCAAGCTTTATTGTACACTCTGTCCTTAGTTATTAGTCACTCCACTTGCATCCCAACCCACACTACGGTTTAATTGCCTTTAAGCATGGACTTTTTCTTCTGAAGGTCATACCAGGTAGAACAAATTTTGTTATCTCTCAGTCTTTAGTCCTTGTCTTTTTACTTCTCATCAATACTACCTTTTAACAACATGGTCACTTCCAAAATATTTGCAGAGCTTTTCAAATAGTGTTTTATTATGCTATATCACCCATAGCACTAGATCTGATTTGGACACAGATGTTTGCCTTCTAACTGATATTATATAACTGACCTTGGAAAACTAAAACTACACTTTTATTTTTTTCAATACCTGAATCTGTCTTGCTCTTCCTTCCTTCACCTTCCCAGTGGATTTCTGGATCTCTGCGTTTGGTAATTTGATGTGGAGGACTCTCATTACATGAGAAGACATTCCTTAAGTCATTTTGGGTCCTACTATGTTTTATTGTCTTACTCTGCTCCTTCAGGTTGTCGTTATCTGGAGACTTTTTCCTCTATGATGGAAATTCATAAACTCTCATTTATTTCTCCTTCATTTCTTTTCATGTGAAAATAATTAAAAGCCAATATAAAATGGTTTGGGTTTTGGTTTTTTTGTTGGTTTTTTTTTAACAAAAAATAAAAATCCCATGATGAATCCATATTTTGTGGTCCTACTGACTTATATTTTTCTGAACAGAATTTAATTGAAGTCTTATGAGATACTACTAAAGTAAATAATTTCTAGTTAAGATGTTTGTTTCACAAGGCTGCTATAATTGTTACTTTTTCTTTTAAGAGATACAACACATTTGGAGATTGAGCCTTTCACGCTTCTTGGTGTCTGTGCTGGGCTGATTCCATATCCTCACCACAACCAGTCCCCAAGGAACACTTATCAGTGTGCCATGGGGAAACAAGCAATGGGTAAGACTTTTTTAATTCCAAATTGGAGCATTACTTAGTTTTTGACGCTATGTAGCAAAAGTGACAAAACAGAGAAGTTCTTTCTTTCCTAGTTCATGTAAAAGCTTTGCTAGGAAGAGGAAAAGAGCACTTCTTTAGCTTAGAGGAAGAAAGAATTAAGGTCTAAAAGTTTGAAAAATTAAAAGGAAAAAAATACCCATCAGTTTTACTTAATGGAGACCTTAACTGCAGGTATTAAAAGAAAAACTGGAGAAACTGGGGTACTATTGACTTTTTGTTGGGGTTTTTTTTATAATCATCATGACTTTCAAGTAGCTGCAGGATTGGCAGAATGGGGTTTTCTTCTCTTTATGCTGTGTTGTGCTGTAGGTTTCCAGACAAAAAGAGTTAAAAAGTGCTCTCACAAAGAGAGACAGAGGGGAGAGTTTCCCTGAATAGTTGAGTAGGTGTCCTAAAAATAAATAAATAAATAGCTACAGTGATATTAGAGAATAAGAGTAATCAAAATGTGCAAGAGGGAGTACTTAGTTACTTGAACACTTCCTGCAACTCTAGTTTAGATTTTGTTTTTTTTCTGTTTTGGATGAACAGGGCAAGTAACAGCCTCTCACTGAAACAAAATTAATTTCCTGATCACATAATTCTTTTTAGAAATGTGATAGCTGGTCATTAAAAACCAACCATTTTGTAAATTTGCTGTTGTGGGTAATAGATACTGGGGAAGTTCTAATCCTTCCTTTAGTAGACAGCTAAACTAATATTAAAGCATCCAAGTCATATGGCCTGTGATCAAACCAGAGTGAGTCCCAAGAAGAGCCTGACCAGCAGCTCATCAGTTCAGACAGCTGTATTCACACTTGTGCTGTACATGCTAGTTTTATGGCCTGTATTGATGGCTTACTCACAAGTTGAGAGTTACAGTAGAACAACTCTGTCATGAAAAACTACCACTTCTGTTAGGTTTACTAAACCATTTGTTTTGTACTGTGTGTTCAAAGCTGAAACACTGCAACTTTTGTGAGGCCTCTCTAGCAGAATTAATGGCAAAGTAACTGCCTTGTGCTGAACTGTCATGTTCAGCTCATCGAAATAGTGGAAAATAGCAACAGATGCATGTCCTCCCTTTAAATTAAAAAAGGGGGGGGAGAAAAAGAGGAGCGATGCAATCTTTTTCCTTACAGTTCTCCCCCATCCCATTATCTTTCCCCCACCCCCGAGTCTCTATTTTATGACTATTAGTCTCAGAAGGTTTGGTTAGTTACCACACACAGTTAAGCAGGATCAGTGTGTACAGAAAGCCAATTCAGTATCTGCGGAGTTCTTTTGTAGTTTTCTGTGTGAAGGTTTTTTCCCCGTTTTGTTTTGAGTGTCATTTGCAATTCATTGTCTGTGTTTTCTGAGGTTGGTGTATTCAGCTGCTTTGACCCTAGGTCTTGCACATTTAGCTCCTTGGATACAATCCTCTGACGTTCCTGCTGACGCTAGGAACACAAAAGCCATTGAATATCCTGAGCAATAAAAAAAGCCTTTGTTTCGGTTTGTTATGACAAAACACCTGATTCAAAGAATAAGCAGCTAGATAAAAGTACATTTTAAAAGTTGGCACATGACCTGAGCTATATTTTGCTCTGCCTGCAGTATCTACAAACACCTGAAACTTTTTGTAGTAACTGCTTAAAAAAAAAAGCCATCATAAGTGGCAATATATAGGGGCAGAAAAGATTTTTCTCTGCACTTACTGATCACATGAGATCTAGAGGATATTCCTGAAACGTTACACATACTTTTTTTTTCTGTTTGTATTTATGAAGAGATATGATGTAGTGCTTCAAATCGCCCTCTTTAAGTAACCATCCACCCTTCTTGCTTTCTTTCCTCATCCTGAAATTGCAGAGCAGGTCCTGTTCCAACATTGCCATGTGGAAAATCTCATGTCCAAGTCCACTCTATCACTCAGCTGTCAAAACCTGGGGGCATGGAGAGAGCACTGGGGCTCAGACTGGGAAAGGAGAGCCTTGTGCTACTCAACACTGTCCCCCTCTGACCACATTACAGGGCTGTGCCAGCAGCTTTGGACAGTCTTTGCTCTTTTTTAAGCAACATCAAGCTAGGGAGAGGTGTGAAAGCACAAGCAAATGGAGGGTGGACATCAGAGTTTGCAACAGGGTCTGTAATCCAGTATCCCTGACAAGTGTTAGATATTAAAATATTAATGTTTCTGCAGGATAATATTAAATGTTCTGAAAAATACCTCCCTTTCATGGGCAGAATGAGTCATCTTGTTGGAGTACTAGGGTGCTTAGTGAGCGAACTGTATTTCAGTAAATGAATTTTAAATGAAATTAAATCCCTCTGGTTTGGCATAGATAATTTACCATATGTTACAGGTTGAACTGTAAGACTGAAATTATGATTAGGTGGCAAATGCAACAGCAGCTGCAAGGATCTCAGTTGAACGTTGACATTTCAGTGCAAAGTTAACAGTTGTAGCTTAAAATCTGAGAAGTATTTGAGATTAAAATACAAGAGTCTGTACTGTTTGCATTCCATGTGTTGCTCAAATAATGTTTAAGAGGATCAAAGGCTCCTACAATTAGAGAAATAATTTTAAATTGAGCTTTTCAGTTCCATTAAGACATAGAAAATCAGCCAGTTTTACAAACTGTACCTCTGTGTCTGTGAAGCATTGCGTAAAAGGCTAATGTAAGAAGTGAAAACATACACATTTTCCTGCCAGTAATCCTCCATATTGCACATGCACATCTGTGAAAGCAGCAGTGTGGGTACACAAAGCAAGCTGTACGCTCTCGCAGCCCAGCTGTGCACTGCAGTTTCAACCCAACTGTCATAACGCAAGTCTTGAGTAAGGAAAGGAGGGTTTGGGTGTTAATCATTACTTTAACCAATGAAAGAGCAGAAAGTATTTGAGGGGAGGGTGGTAGGTACATGAGAGCTTTGTTGCAGAGGTTTATGTTGAAGCAACTTTGATATCACTAAAAAACCCCTCTTAACCCCCCTTATCATGGACATTCTGCTTTGCTTCTGTGAAATAGCAAAGCCCCTGATATACTGCTTTGCCTTGTGCTATAGCCAGCTGAATGTGTTACAACTGAGTTGAGAAGACAAATGTTCTTCAAGGAACCGAGTGCTGGGAGTTGTTTTTGACAGTTGTGAAGGGCTTGTTGGTGGGCTGAGAGCTAAAGTGCTCCCAAATTTTGTACAGCTAGCCTATTGGCAGAGAATCGAAACAAACATCAAAGCAAAACCAGCTGTTGCTGGTCATCACAACTGGACCTGGGTGCTTTGTGGCCAGGGTTCAGTTCTGCCACTGCTCTTTGAGAAACAGCATTTGTGCTCTGTGACATGGTCTCTTTGCCATCTCTTCTCTCCCCGGTAGCAGGCACAGAAGTGCTGGGACAGAAATGAGCCAGACTACTTCCCCCAGTCTAACTGACTTCTTAATCTTTCTATGGTGAAAAGGATATTTCAAATGCTGAACATCCAGATCACCTAATACATGTACTGTGAAAATCTCTCTGAGCTGAGTTGGAGCCCTGTCCACAAGGTTCAGTGCAGCATTTAAAAAATGTACTCGGTTCTCTGTTGGTTTGTGCTCATATAAAAGGAAATAATAGTAGAAAATCCATGGTGAAATTAGGGGAAATACAGAAAAACAGCAATTCTTTTCTTGTCATATACAATAATAACCCTTTTGGCTCATATCTTAAGTAGATTGATTTCTGTATCCTTGTTAATTTTGATTGTACAATTTAATGTTGCTGTAAGTAAACACCAGAGAATTGGATAAACGCTTATTTTAGCTGGCTGTTTGTTCTGGTGAGTTCACAAAACTTTCTGCATCAAAATAACAATATCCCATTTATGTTGAATATAAATAGATGGCATTACTTCACACTGAAGAGTGATGAAATGATACTTTAAAAGAAAAAAAAAAAACAAAACTTGTCAGGGGATAGAAAAAATGGAAGAATGTACACATGTATTCACAATATACCAAGCGCTGAGAAAAGCAAGAAAATTATCTTTCTTGTATCCAGGTCAACCTTGTGTGATTTGCTTTAAACGAGGCTGATTACTACTGAAAAAAATTGGTTCTTGCTGTTGAGGTAATTATAAATGTGGGTCATTGTGAGCAGGGTTTGTTATGGTGAAGTTTAATTATACTTTACTTTTGCTTGGCTGTTTGGCTGAAGCAAACAACGGCTCTGTTCTTTCAGAGAGAAAACAGAAATAAAGCTAGTGACTTCCTTCACTTCAACACCCACTCAGAGGTCTTGTCCCAACACACCAGTGCTCAGAAGAAGGGAGCTGCTTCTTAATTTTAACTAAGCAGATTGTGGTTTAAGGCTGTGGTTTGTTAGATCAGTCTAGAGAAGGCATTATTTGTATAACCTTTAAATCATAGTAATTAGGACAAATATTGCTGATATATGGCATGCTTTTTGGCTAATTTTTCACTTGTGCTCTTGAATCATTCTCTAGCCAGTGTCTTTCCTGCTAGGATATCCATCATTATATAAATGTGTTCTATTTAATATACTACAGCATTCAGCTCCTGAAGAATTGCCTGAATACAGTTTATTATTGGAGCTTAAAATCGCAGTAACGTCAGTCACTCGTGGCTCCTGTTCTGATACAAACAGTAACAGTTCTGTTAGGCTTATCTGAACCTCTGATAGAAATACCAACTTTGAAATACATGAAATATCTAAGAAATAATTTGCATTACTTGAAATATGCAAAAGTGTCATCTGTAATCCTTGATATATCAGATTGTGACTGGGGTATAAAGGACAAGTTTAGCTATGATCAGGTGCTTCAAACGTCATCTCATCTTAGCATCCCTAACCAGTGAACCATAGCAGGTACAGCATGTAAGTGTCTCAGAGGAGAAAAAAAGTGCAAGTATTTTAAAAGTGAAAGTTGGCGTGGCATACTCAGGAGAATATTTCTCTTAACAATGGGAAAATGTACCCATCCATGAAACTTTTAAGATGAGCTCTACAGCAGACAGCCTGTCCTGAAAGCATGCAGGTTATTCATTCTAGATGCAGAGGGAAGAAATGGTCTAAACCTCTAAATTTTTAATTTGGAAGTAGATTTTTCCTAGCTGTATAGTGGGAAAAAATTTTTTTAATCAAAGTATAATGAAAACAATGTCTAATACTTTGGCTAAGGGAATATCAGAAGTAATGGGGCTTTCAGATGGTGGGCCTATTGAGGGGTGACTGCAAAGCTCTTCAATGTTGATGAATCCAGGCCCTACCAGCTTGCTTCTTACTGGTGACAGAAAATACTGCTCAGAGATGATTAATTACTTTCTCCAAGAAAAAGACAGAAAAGCAACTGCTCAAAAACAAGAGACAAGTAAAGTCTGTCAACTCTACCAAATCTTTCTTGACGTTTGAAAATGCTGTGCCCATGGCTTCAAATCCAGTTCCTAGAACCAAGGGAAGTCCAGACATGCAAGAGCTGGTTATAACAGTTTATTTTCAGACAGTATCTGTTGAGCTATCTACCTGTTCTCATCCTTGGGAAGGGTAGACCTGTGGTGGTTTAGGAGAGAGAGCTTAGGGCCAAGGACAGGATAGGTCTTTGGAAATGCCAGTGATACTGCTTGGTTTTAGTTATTTGATTTTTCTAGACTTTTTTTAAATGCAAGCATTTGGAAATTGCAAGTAGGTGCATATAAAACGTGAAGCTGGCCTCCCCTAAGAGCAGATTTGTGTTTAGCTGTACAATATTCTGGCTGTGTGAAGTCTTCATTATACACTGGTTGCTTTGACCTTTCCTTGAAAGCAGCCAGCCTCTGAAATTGCAGGAGAAAATGGTAAGGTTTTGAAAGACTTACCTCCTAAGCACAAGTACTGCAGAACATTTAAAGAACACTTAAAACTTTGAAACTTTAACTTTTCAGACTGCAATTTCTTAATTGCTTAGAGACATAGCGTAGTCCTGGTACAGCAGACTCTAATAACATACGATTGCCTTAACTTTTGTTCTGCTACACAACAGTTTATGTTTCCCTGCTGGGTGTTAATTATTTTTTCTTCAGATTTCAGAAGACACTTTGGCAGTCTGATGGGACAGGGCCAAAAATTTCAGTCTCAAGCTGGGAGGTCTATACAAAGGATTGAATTCTAAACTATAAATTTAAAATTAATTTTATGTAAAAAGACAAATATATTACGAGTGAACTTCTACTGTAGTCTGTTTAGCAATGACGCCTCTAATTTCAGAAAGTAAATCAGTCTTGGCCTCTGCTAACTGTGTGCTTTGTTCATGCTTTGTGACATTCTAACTCAGGCTGCTGTTGAACTAATTATTGCCCAGAAAAGGAAGGAAATATGATGTGGAAGACGCAGAACTTGATCCACTGTTCCTCTTTAATTCTATGGAAGTCTTTCTATTTATTCCTATAAAGTTTTGGATCAGGTCTATGGAACACAAGTTCAGCTCTCAAAAAAAAAAAAAAACCCTACAGCTATTAGAACAATAAAAGCAAACTTCTTACTTGCAAATTTCTGTGTTGTGATTAAAAAATAAATCTTATTTACATTCAGTCATATAAGTTCTGACTTTGACTTCTTTTGTTGTTGTTCTTTTAGTCTTGATGCTTAGGTTTTTTTCCCTGCTTAAGAAAAAATAAATAATTCTTTTTAGGAGCTTAAATTCAGAATCAACCTTCATGTTTATTTAAATATAATAATGTAAAGTTGTTTTTGTTCACTCTCTTATGATTTTTTTTTTTCCTTCTTGAAGAATTTCTATTATTACATTAATTCCTCATTTTGTGGTTTTATAGTTAATTTGCATTTTGGTAATCTTTTAGCCAACACATTTCTAGGAAACTTACTGATGTTCACACACTTGTGTTTTTCTTTTACATACAGGTACTATTGGATACAATCAAAGAAACAGGATAGATACTCTTATGTACCTTCTAGCCTATCCACAAAAGCCAATGGTAAAAACAAAAACAATTGAACTGATAGATTTTGAGAAACTGCCTGCTGGACAGAATGCCACAGTTGCTGTGATGAGCTACAGTGGTTACGATATCGAAGATGCTCTTGTCTTAAACAAGGCCTCTTTGGACAGAGGTAAGAACCATCAATTCTTTCCCACTTCTCTAGTGTTCTAATACATGTTAAAGCATGTCTCGTGGTGTTATCCTGTAATAACTTTTGTTACAGTTATGAACAGTACATCTCCTCTTAAGAATTCAAATTCCAAAACAGCTTTGAATGCTTTTGTTTGTTTTCTGCATGAGTAGTGATTGTAGGTCCATGCTTGCAGTAGTGCGGTGAAGTTGCCAACACGTGAATAAACTTTGAGTATGGCTATTATAAGAAAAAATGGCTAACTTTTGACCTTAAAAAAGTGTGAATGGTTGCTTTTTGAAAATGTTTAGTTTACTAAAAATGTAAGGTGTTAAATAATCTGTTCTGTTGGTCTTACTTTTTAGATGGTTACCTGAACCTTTTTTCATTACTAACAGAAGAGTCTCATTATTTTCACTAGTAACAAAAGTAATAGATGAAATTAGACTTTGGAATGCATTTGGGAAGGCAGTGGAACACATGGCAGTTTGTGTCATTGTGAACTTGATGCTCTGAGGGAGCAATAGCAGTGTTGCCTACTTTCAAAGGGAAAATAGTAATACTATCTAAAGCAGAATAATATAGTGTTTATTCAGAGATAAACTAATGACCTGCTTTCTTAAAAAAAAAACAACAAAACAAAACCTATGCAGTGCAGTGCAGTGTATTTTAAGTGCATAAGCACCAAATAGAAGGTAACTAAGTGAGACCTGTGTTTATGCTGGTCTGGCCTGTCTCGCGCTCTCCACAGTTCTTCAGCGCTTTATGTAAATGCTGCTGGGGGTTGGAGGAGAGTTGCCTGTTTTCTAAATAAATTCCCTGTGACAAGACATAGTGCAGTGTGATCAAACTGGTTTTAGTTTCGGGTGGCCAAAATCAGATTCTTCCATGACTTTATTAGGCCCCCCCCAACTCCCTTGCTCCTAGTTGCTAGGCAGCAATAATAGTATTCCTAGACATGTATCTTTGGCATTTAATTTATGCCTCCTTTTCTAAAACAACAACAGGCATGATTTAAAACTGAATGTTTTCTTTTCTGGTAGACTGGTAACATTTACAGGGAGAGCTGTGATGCTTGTCAGGAGTTACTTGACGTAATCTAAAGATATAGATGTACTGTATGTGGCGGCAACCATCTTTCAAATGAACTAAAATAACGTAAGATTATTAGAAAGCCTTGCTCTTGGTTGTCTGTAATTCTAAATGTGATGAAAGTGTTTAGTATTGTGGCTAGTTGCTGTACTTGAAGAGAAATTCCAGAGATGCTACTTTTCTCATCTAAAACCCAAACCAAACCTGTTTTATAACAATATATGTAATTCAGAATTCTTTCAACTGGGAAGAAAGTGAGTAATGGGGTGATTATGTGAAACACTCCATCGGTCCTTTCCTGGTAGGATAGCTTGTGTCAACCACAAACATGAGTAAAAGTTTAGGTTTCTTAGAACTCCTGAAAGGAAGAGGTGCTGTTCTTGTCCTGTTAAGTCTCTTCTCCTATGTTATGTCTCCCTGTGGACCACCAAAAATGTAAGAGAAATCATGCATGTGTATGTGCAGAGGTATAGAAGTGCATGAGCACAACTTCACAATTAGACCATAGTCCAAAGTCTAAAAAAAGTAGCATTCAAGTAGTATTCAAGACAATGAATAACTAATTAAAAGATATTTTACATTCTGTAGTTCTTTTTTTTAGCAGGTGGATCAGCATTCTTGTTTTATTCTGATAATGTGTTATAAAGAAACTTTGAACTCCTAGGCAGATGAGTTTGTGTTACATTTTAGGTTTTGGAAGGTGTCTTGTGTATAAGAACGCCAAGTGTACACTGAAGCGTTACACAAACCAGACATTTGATAAAGTTATGGGTCCAATGTTGGACGCAGCTACCCGGAAACCAATCTGGCGCCATGAAATTTTAGATGCTGATGGTATCTGCTCTCCAGGTATGGCAAACTACATGTTCAGTGATGGTGTGCTCATAATCTGAGGTAGAAATTAATGTTCTGTTAATATTTCTTGTGCGCCTTGTTTTATACTTAGTGTAATTTTTTTTTTTTCTTGAAGGTGACAATATTGTAATGGAAAATTTGAAAATGTTGGTTTCTGAAAGTAGCAGGATGCCAGTCGTTGGGGGGCATTTGTGCGTGAAAAGAGGGAGCTTTATATTTAAGTAGAAGAGTGAGTCTTTAAGAGTGTGAATCTGTTGATGCGTTAGAACTTGTATTCTTCTTATATCCCCAATTGATAAACTTTTAATACTGTAGTTTTTTACTGCTTGTCTCTCATATGTTCTCTTATTGTTGTTTTTTAGGGATAGATTCCTTATTGTGTTGATTTCATATGTCAAAACCTCCTAGCATCCTGTCAGTTAATGCAGTTGTTTGAAAAAGTAAAACCTTGTGGTTTTAAGACTTTAGAAATACATTTGGAGAGAGATAAGAGAATAAATACAATTACATTTTTGTTATGAGGATAGGTGTATAACTTCCCAATGGAAATAAATTTGAGAAAGAATCTTCCTGTACTGCCATCCTTCAGTTAGGAAATGGTGTAATAGATCTGAGAGAGATCTAATAAGATCTAATAAGAGATCTAAGAGATGTAATAAGATCTTATTAGATCTAAAAGATCTAATAAGAAAGGTGCTGTAAAAGGCACTAAACTTAATTCCATTATAGCAACACAATTGAGTCATTTTTGCTCTTTAGCACATCATAAGGAGCTTTCAAAGTTAATTAAAAGAAAAAAGGCAAGAATCTTCTGAAGTATTCAGATAGATAGGCCTGGGGTGGGCTCCAGACTGAGGCTGTTCTCAGCATTTAGTTAAAAACCTCTTTAAAATAGTTCATGTGGACAGAAAAGAGACATAGGTTGAAGTTGAGTAATTTTGCGGAGGAGGTGGGGGGCAGGTACTTGGTGTGCATGAGTATAATCGTTAAAAGAAAAAAGGCAAGAATCTTCTGAAGTATTCAGATAGATAGGCCTGGGGTGGGCTCCAGACTGAGGCTGTTCTCAGCATTTAGTTAAAAACCTCTTTAAAATAGTTCATGTGGACAGAAAAGAGACATAGGTTGAAGTTGAGTAATTTTGCGGAGGAGGTGGGGGGCAGGTACTTGGTGTGCGTGAGTATAATCAGGCATGCTACTGATCTGGTTTTCTCTGAAGGGCAGGATAAGGGAATGGAAAAGAGCTGATGTATGAGACCAGAAGCAATAGGAAAAAGTAATTGCAAGGAGAGGCTGAAAGTAATCTTGCACAACTCATTGTAGAAATTATGCAATTTCCTAAATTTTGGTGTGAATTTCTAAAATTTGTCAGTGACGGTGTTGCTTGTTAATTTTCTCCATACTTTCAGCAGATGACTTCAGATGCTTTTGTGTATTCTTTAGACCCAGGGTATATTGAATAGCTATTCTCATAGTCCATCCAGCATGCAAGCTGTTCTGTTTTGGCTTACCAAATAAAAAAAAAATAGTTTAATGGTTCCCTTACTATGTGATATTTAATAAAATAACATTACATACTTCCTGGATATGTTCCTGCCAGTTTGTTTTCCAGCTTACCTTTTTTTAAAGCTTAAAATGTATTTCTAACATAGGTAGCCAGATATGATTTCATCATGGTTTGTTGGGTTTTTTTCTTGTTGTTTGTAGGTGAAAAAGTAGAAAATAAGCAAGTCCTTGTGAACAAATCTATGCCAACTGTGACCCAGACGCCTCTGGAAGGAAGTAGTGTGCCTCAGCAGCCACAGTACAAAGATGTGCCAGTAACGTATGTTTTGCCATAACTTTATAGTTGGGGAAGGTACATGGAGGAAAGGTATCTGGGAAAATATAGAAAAGTCAAAGGAATAAACTTCCTTCTGGAAATTAGACCTAGTTCTCTAAGTCTTGTTTTTCCACAGGATTTTTCAGAACTAAGTTATTTTCAGAAGTGCCTGGACACTTAATCACTATCAGGTTAGAATCTGACACCTGAAGGGCTGGAATTGCAGAGAGGAAGGAACCCTCCTGAAGATTTATGTATAGAGAGGAATCACTGAGTAGGTTCCCAGGAGAGACTGAGGAGAGAGCTAAGATAGTGGTAGAGGGGAGAGGAGTCACTCATGGATGAAATGATGGACAAACAGGAGAAAAGGAGGATGTGTGGGAGGGCAGAGAGCGTATGTCTACTAAATGAGGGGGCACATCTCCTCCACACTGGCTCCCACAGAAAATGGCCAATGCTGACTGACGCTCAGCCTTCACTTTGCCAGCCAGGAGGCCAGGAGCTGGAGGCCTTCCTATCTCAGAGGCTGACAGGCAGCTCATTGTGGCCACTCCAATTACCAAGGCGCCAGTGAATGGGAAAAGATAGTCAATAAGAGTTTTTCCCATCCTGTTGTGAAAGAGGAGGGGGCTTCTGAGATGTGAGATGAAAATTTTGCATTAAATGTAAACTTAAATAAATAAATAAATTATGACAAGTTTTTCCTTGTTTTGTCACGAATAGCCTTGACAGTTCAGTGAATTAGCAAAGAGCAGGGCAAGCAACTGGTGCCTAGATCAGAAAGGCAGAGTTAGCTTTGCTGCACTTCTGTGTATTTCACAACCAATAGAAAGCTCTAGGTTTACTCCTACAAGATAATAAAGAAGTGAGGCAACAGTGTAATTATCAAGGAAAGGAGTAATCCTGCCAGGTAAAGATATGAATCCAGGGCTCTGAATTTAGGTGTCATAGTTTGACCATGTCAGCTACCTGAAAAACAATACAATCTCCTAAATAAGGCTTTAAAATCTGCTCTAATTCTCTATTTGGCTTTTGTTTGTTTAACTTAAGATCCATAAATTTGCAATATACTAGGAAGCTTTTTTCTGTCAAGAAGAGCCCATGTGATAAAAAAAAAAAAGACAACTTGTTCTTTACAAGTTCAGCTTAATTCTCTCTTTGTTTCTGTTGTATTTCTTGTCTTGTCTTTTCCAGAAACATACCATACAATGTATATAATCTTTGCTCCATTAGCCTCCCATATATAAGTTCCGTGAAGACTACAGTTTAGCCAGAAGGTTACCAATATGTAGATACTTGCTAGTAACTTGTGTTTGATACATAGAGGTAAAACTCATGTTTTGTCTTCTTGTACTAGCTACAAAGGTGCAACTGATTCATACATTGAAAAAGTAATGATTTCATCAAATGCAGAGGATGCTTTCTTGATCAAGATGTTGTTGAGGCAAACTAGACGTCCAGAAATTGGAGATAAATTTAGCAGTCGTCATGGGCAGAAAGGTAAGCTACACATTTAATAAAAATAAATGCATGTTGGATATGCCTGCTATACATACATAACATTATAATGCATGTTTCCATTATTGGTTCAGATCTTTTATGAATACAGCGGTAGAAGACCATATCTCTGTTTTTTTGTTAAGTTCACCTAATTTAGCAATGATGTTTCTGGAACTGAGGAGAGGACTTGGCAAACACAACTCTGTATTGACTTATGCATATAGAATGTACAGTAGTTGCACATTTTAATCAAGAACAGGGTTTTGAGTTTGTTGTTTTGGGGGTTTTTTTAACTAGTGTGAATTTGGTTTTAGGTGATAGGTTTGTCAGTGGGTTATCAAGAGACAGATTGGAGTGAAGAGTGAAATAGCCTATTCTGAATGGACTGAAAAGACCAGAGATGGAATGGAATGTCTGAAAGTCATCTGTGCAGACCTTTTTCTCTGAAGACAAGACTGCACATAGATAGCTCAGAGCCATGGCGTAAAAGGGAAACAAATTGGGAATACAACTAGGTATGCACTAGAAGAGACTGGGAAGAAGGGGAAAGTGTTTTTAAAAATCCACCTGGGACATGATCTGAGGCACCTCTGATCTTCAAACTGAGAGTTGAAAATGAGTACCTCCTAGGAAGCTGCTTGCTGGTTTGTAGCTCTCTAGTGTTAATGTTATAAGTAAGATGAAAATCAGGAGCTTGTTTCCATATCTGTTGAAAAAAGCAGTGCACTCCCTTTGACCTTAATGGCAAAAAAAGGTGACGACATCTCTGAATCTCAAAAGGCTGGGAGGTGTGGTAAGGGTATTAAGAAAGGAATGACTGAAAATAGTCCAACTGAAACTGACGTAAAAGCATGTTTTGATCGCATTGGTCTCAATGTGTGACAGGTTTTGACATGTTTTCATCTATCTTGGAAAATCTAGATTTTTAGCACTTTCAGCATGACCTTCTACCTTACTGTCTGTGCTGTGCTGAACCTATTACCTGAATATTGTAATGTTGTTACATTTTTAGGTGTTATTTTGGTTTGAGAACATTGCTCATTCCCTTGTCAGTCGCGGTGGGGAGGCAAAGAGGTTGATATTACTAAATCCTTTCCATTGCAGCACGTACATTCCTTTCCTGCCACTGGGCAAATGTGATACTGTCTTAATAACTACTGGGAAAAAAAAAAAATCCTTACTTCCTTGCTTTGATTTCTGAGGAACTGGAACCAGAGCACTGAGTATAAAGCACACCAGCTTCTTATGTCTGGTAACACAAGTATCTGCTAGATCTGTGTGGAGGGCAGAAGGAGGTAAATGAGGAAATAACAGAGGATGCTGTTTAGATTTGATTAATACTTAAAAGTAGCTGTAGTCAATGAACTTTGCAGTAATACATCAAATTATGGTACTAGCTAAAGGATGTTATCTTGCAAACTAACCATCTTTTCATGAGCAGTGTTCTCTTTGTCAGAAGACACGTGGAAGAGAGAGTGCTTTTTGTTAGGAGGAGCTCCCTGAAAATGTCCCTTTCAGCAGTTTGTGACATAGTCCCACTCTACTCCCAGCATCATGTTGGTTTTGACCTTGTGTTGATTTCCATCCTGTATTCTTGGAACACAACCAGTGAACTCTGTGGGCAAATATGCCCTGGAGTCAGTCAGCAGAGAACTGGTACTTGCACAACATCCATATGTAGATCTGAGCCAGTGAAAAGAGGTGAAACTGCAAAAAATGTCACCAGTTCATAGGCAGTATCCAGCTCTAGAGCTCTCTTAGGTGTGGTTTAACCAGAATCATCTCCATCATATTCAGTGCCTGCATGACTGGAAGAGGTCTGAAGAGCAGTTGCTTACAGATGGACCTTAGGCACAAGTAAGAAAGCATTTTTATAATGCTCCATGCCACTATTTACTCTGGTTACTTCTTTACTCACATGTGTAGCCTAAAGTGAAACCTGAGGTCATTTGTAACTTTCTGGGGCTATGGAAGTATGTAAGAATTGGTGCCAATGAGGTGACCAGGTGTAACTAAAGTGAAAGACTTCATCCCTGTTGTGAGATGCAGGGCTAGCCACAGTAATCCTCATTTCTGTAGCCTGCAGGTTTGGTGACCGGGACATCTACCTAGAGCGAACCTAGCAATCAAAAAAGGTGAAATGGGTACAAAAGGCAGTAGTTGATCATAATGTCAGCTGTTGCCAGATGTTGCCTCAAGTTCTTTTTGTGTATTTTCTGTGGAGTATAGTCAATGCAGGCTTTCTCAGTACATCCAGCTCTCTCCAAGATCACCCTTACTTCCACAATATCTTTCCATAGACCCCTAAAATCAGTTCTTGAAACTCTGTATTCTAGAGGAATCCTTCCATTGTTTCTGCTATCATAAAGAAATAGAAACTGCTCTGACAAGCACTGAAACACTTTTCCTGATTGTATTTTCAAGATGACTTTTGATCTAAAAATAGGAAGGGATTCTCACTGAGTCCCTAAGTGATTTGGGAACCAGTAGCTATTGAAGGCTTCAAAAAAGTAAAGAAGCACCAGTACATTCTTGACTTTCCTTTTAAAATCCAGTCTAGTTCTTGCATTACAGCTGTATAGGGTAGTTTCAGGAAGTGAGGGGGAAGATCATTGGCTTCAGGGGCAAACAGAAAGAGTTGAGCAGTTGGAATGGTTCAACTGCCCCATTCCTTCCTTTTCTCCAGGAAGATTCTCCTTCAGGAAGATTTTGTGTAGAGTCTCTTTCAAATATTTTTATCTCATATACATGAAGATGGGCAGTACTTTTAAGCCTGTGACCACTTTTAGAGCAAAGCCCATTTCTTCCTATATTTTCAGCTTTGTCTAATTAGTCCTTTCTCCTTATAAATGGCAGATGGCATTTCAGCTGCAAGTTATTATGTAACCATACGATCAGTACTGTGCGGGACAAATTTTCTTACTAAAATTAAAAAAAAATAGCCTACAAATTATATTAAAGAAGCTGCTTGGTTAATCATCATAAATATTTACTGATATTTGCATGAAAAATTTAAGCAGGTAAGGTTTTTCTCCTAGCTTGGGCTATTGATGTGCACCTATTGAAATAGTTAGTTGAACAGGATTTAAATGGAACTGATTTTCATACTTCTCCAAAAATGAAGAAGTATGTTCTGTAAATCTAGAATCATCAGAGGAAAGGTGGCAGCAGTATGGCCGCTTTAGGGAGCAGAGGGCCTTCAATACCACTAAATACACATAAGGCATCTCGCAGTCTAGAGCAAGCTCATTTTAGAGGTCTTGAAGGACAGACATCTCATTACTACTCATCAAACCCTTTCATGGTCAAATGCACAAACAACTAACACGCACTGTATTGGAGTCTAGTGGTATTTTTTTTATATTCCACAAGCCACACAAGGTTAGTAATATTTTTTTTTCTAAAGTAGAATACCTGTGGAAATCCCCTGGTTATGAAAAACAGCATCCGAAATGCTGTAGGGAACTTTGAGGGCGCCCATAATTCTTCCTGGCATTGCATCAGGTTAGAATGACTGATCCCTTCGTATCTGTGCTTTGGACCTATAAGAGTAATAAACCAAAACCATCAATTATTCAGAATAGTCCCTTTCAGCTTAGTTTTGGAGATATGAGCGGGAACATTGCAACAGTTGTGTTACAGACTTCGCAGGCATGTGCTTGTTAGCTGTCCACTGCATCAATCTGTAGTAATCTCTTATGGTTGGGGGGGAGTGATCATATTCTAAATTGTTATGTTCTACTAGGATACATATCCTCCTGGTAGCAGACCTCTCAGTTCACTGGCTTGTAGTATGTTATGGGAAAAGATAAGACAATAAGTGGGAGAAAGGAAAAATCTGCTTAGTGGAGAGGATACCTGTGTTAGATACCAAGGAAAAAAATACTGACAAGAACAGTGGAGTTTACTGTTTTGCAACTTCAGTTTGCAGCAAAGAACCAGATACAGACATTGATGTTAGATTACAGGCCATGACGGGACTGGAAAGAAGGCATGAAAAGGAAAGGCAAGATCTCCTTTGCTAGTGATTTAAAAATACAATTAGCATCATCCTTCTCTGACATCAAATCAGGGAAGGATCCATCATAAAAGAGGAGTATAGACAGCTGAGAAACATAAATTGTAATAGTGACAGTTTAACATTTTCCATTGAGAGAATTTTTAATTAGCCATGAATTTGTTCTCTCACCTTCATCTGGATGCAGGCTATTACCACTTCAGGTTTAACCTGTGAATGTTAGCTTTAAGCCCATCATAGGGCCATTTAAACCTATGATGAGCTTGAACTAACAAGTACCTTGATTCAGTGAAAAGAGAAAGCATATTTCTCTCTTTTCTGTATTATCAGTCTTTTCTGCAAAGTATTTTTATTTTCTAGAAGGATTGCATGACAATAAGATTTGATTTCACAGAACTGTAGTACTAGTTTTAAAATAATTAAGTATGTGCAAAATAAGAGATTGCACAAACTACATTTCTCAAGTATTTTTCATGGACTTTTTCCAGTATTCCAAATTGATTTGTATTCCAAAGCTATACTTTGTCACTGGGTCAGAAAGAAGCAGAGTAACAGAATTGGAAACTGTCTGGCATATTACAGATTAAATCTCACAAACCAGCTTTAGCCTTTTGTTACAGAAGAGCTTTTCGTTAAATACATAGGTAGATTTTGTAGGCCTCTATAATAATCTAGATCTATGCCACTGCCTCTGTATTTGCTACTTTCTTTGTGTCCTCTCCCATGTCAACACTGTATTGGCAAGGGTCACCACTTCTGGCCTGTCCACCACACCCTCTTTTCATTCGAGTCCATGTTTTAAGCACACTTCTTTCAAACTGCCTGTAAAAGCTGGCCTTTCCTTCAAGACCTGTCAACAAAGAAGTGTATGAAGAGGAGAAAAAAACCCAAATGAGCCATCATGTTATGTTGAGAAATGCAGCAGCAGATATTTTGCTCTATCTCAATATTCATCTTCAAACTGGACGTTGCAGTGAGATCT